AATAAACTCTCTGAAATATTAGATTTAAAAGAAATGGATAGGAAAGACAATATCTGAAAATTGCCATATTATGCAACAGCAATAAAGATTGATAGTTTTCTTACCTTCTTTTGTGATTTGTCTGTTATTAACCATAGTGCTCCTTTGGCGTGACGCATACATTTCTGAATAATGTGAATATGTCAGAAACCGGAGAAAAATGTCTGTCCGCTTCTTGACATTGGTAATTGAACATTACTTGCATTTTCACCCCACATCACACCATTCCACTCATCAGCTCGAGCTGTGGAAATCCGAACACAAGTGTTCACAAAAAAAAAAAATCACCATAGTCATGGGGGGTCCCTTGAGGAAGATGGGGGCAGGTTCGCTTTTTAAATGACCTTAGGCTGCACAATGTTATAAGAGATCCTAGCCGTATATCGACCCTGTAAAACAGCGGCCTGTAAATGAATTACTTTTATCCAAATAGACTTTCATTATTACCCATTTATGAAGCTGGATCGGTCCAGATTAAATACTTTAGGCTTTTGTGCCCCTCCTACAGTGTCTGGGATATAAATCTGTGACCTTCACACCATGCTACCTAGGGCCCACAAACTACACAATGCTTACTGAAATAGGTCCATTATATGAAGAAAAACAGGATGTTGATTGGCTGGATGGGGTCCTGAGGAGAGGAATCAGGCAGCACGGGTGGGCAGCCCATGCACAAATGTCATCACAGCAGTGGATCCAGTCAATTCAATGACATAACAAATGTCTTTTTACTTAATTTGGTTTAAGGTAAGCAGAAGTGGTGTTGGACATTAAATACTCTCTAGATGAGTTACACACTGGGGTTAAACATAAAAGAGAATCTGCAGGAATTCAGTAAGCACTTTGGGGGAGTTCCTTTTGGCTGCGAAGTCTGTCGCCTTTACTTCGGTAAGAAGTTGTTCCAATCCTACAAGCCTTAGACGATGACGTGCTCAGACAAGGACATGAGAAGGTGGCACCAGCGTCCAGGTGGCCCCTTTCATGGGCTTTGCTCTCATGCGCTGTCAGTTTCTTCGTTGCAGTTTGTAAAGCTAACTAAAAGGGAAGTACTGGGAGAGCCGTGTGCCTCAGACAGTCCTAGACACTCCTGTCCTGTCCTCCAAGTAAGTGTCCTTCTTTTAGGTTTCTCTCCGTTAGCAGTCTACAGGAGATAGCTGCGCGATAGACGACGGGTGGCGGAGCTTATCCCTGGTTCAGCACCGGACAGCTCCCTGCCGGCAATTCAGCATCAGGTCACTACTGCTCTTTAGCACGAGTGTCATGAGATTTCCAGTTCTTACCGGCTTTAACGGGCTTTACTGTATTATTAGGGATATTACTGGTAGTAAATATTTTTTTCAACTAAAATTTCTTGAAGGCTTGCTGTCAGTGCCATTTTGACTGTAGTGCCGTTAAACTACATTTTCTTTTATACATTCAGTGCTTTGCCACACCCTGTGTCTATCTGTTGCGGGTCACCTCAGGCTAAGCTTGATATATTGTCTTGTGACCCCCATCAATTACTGATTTCAGGAGTCTTCATTTATTAAAAATATTGATTTCCTTTGCACTAGTGACTGGTCTTCATTTATCTCTTAATACAACTTGTCTCAAAATTTGTCTTGTTTTTTTGTTGTTGTTGTCGCTGTGCCTATAGCAAATGAGATAACATCAAGCAAGTCAGCTCTGAAGAGTGTATTAAACTGGCTTTTTAATGGCGTTTTCAAAAGAGATGCGTTCTTCGTCACTCATATGAAAACTGACTGACACTTTACCAAATGTGGAGGTGGGTTTCAAACAGCACTCACGATGGGGCTGTCCCCCCGCCCCCCATGCTATAACAGGAGCAGAACAAGACCGAGGTTTGGTTACAACCAACCAGCTGAGCATAAAGAGTCACAGTAACAAGGTCTCAACTGGTTGGGTGTAACCAAACCTTGGTCTGGATTTGTTCTTTCTGGAAGTGTGCATACAGTATGTGAATGGTCTTCATGTGTCATGGTGCCTGAATGGGTAGCATGGTAGCCTGATACCTGATAATTCCAGGGCTAAGAGTTCAAATATTGCCTGAATATTGCTTGTGTGCAGTTTGCACAATTTCCCAATGTTTGCTCTTATATTCGAAACCAATTGCCTCCTCCATTCTTCAAACAGACTAAGGATTATTACCTGATTTTCTCGATACTCCAGTGTGATGTATAAATCCCCAGACCTTTTTCATCTTACTATCTCAGGCTGTGATTCATACGAATGTCTTTGTCCGGGTCCAGTGATCAGAATAGATCACCAGCATTTCTTCCTTGCTTGATGTGCCATGAATGGTAGTTAACTTGCTCACATACGGCAAGGATCCACAGGGTCACAAATGCAGCATCGTCCTCCTTAATTTCCAGCGAACTCCACAGGTGAACTTCCCAAACACATTTAGTGGTATCAGTCCATTTCTGGTTTTACCTCATTTGCACTTCAACCAGATGAAGTACTGGATTCCATCTACAGGTAAGACTTCTTATTTGGATGTTGAAGCTTATGTGATTCATTGCTGTCTATTTAGCTGCAAAAAAGATTCTTATGTTTTTTAAACCTTTTAATTAAGTACCTGCCATCTATGTACTATGTGCCACATACAGGTCACATGATTTAACTGCTGTTGTCTTTGGTCTTCTGTTTATCTGCATTTCATTCCATGGCATCCTTTGGATAATGCATGCTTATCCAATCCTTACTGCTTATCCAGCAGAGCGTCATTGCAAGCTGGAGCCCCTCCCAGGTAATATAAGACAACAGAACCTTCTGGATGGGTTATCACACTCACTGTGGGAAATATAGAGACACCACTTTCACTATCTGCTTGTTTTTAGCTGTGGGAGAAGCTGGAGAAAGCAATGCAAACTGCACATGCAGAGCAAGAACGGGATTCAAACCCACAACATACAAAGTGCCAATTCTACCCACTAAACCACAGTGTTAAACCACCCACAGGTCATGTGAAAGCTGCTTGTCTTGTTGTCCTTTTCTATGCCTCGCACAGGTCATGGGGAGGGCATTACTTTTCCCCAGCTGTGCAATCACTGGAACATGAATGCACACAGGAACATTATGTTTATTTAATTAGCCGATGCTTTTATCCAAAGCGACGTACAATGGAGAATTGGAGAGCAGTGACACCCAGTGTCCCCGGAGCGACTCGGGCAATGCACCCTGCCTAAGGGGCTAACGGTGACAACACTCAGCCAGTTATGGGATTTGAACCGCTGCCCTTCTGATCAGAGGCAGAGTCCAAACCTTCAGAGCCACACCCACAGAGCACCAATGCATGTGGACCACTCATCCAGTGTTGCACAGCGGCATCATTAATTTCATGTTAATCAAATAAGCCTTCCCACAACATACAGCAGGGGATTCTGGGAAGAGGCATGCACCTCCTTAGACGTATCCATCGCTGATGCCTATGTGAAGCTGAGAAGAAAGCTGTTCCTGCCCTGATTCCGAGATCCGATTCCACTTCAGTCAGGCTGTGCAGGCAAGAACCCTATCTGCTAAAGACGCTCCAAATAAGAATATAGGAACAGAAGAAAGTTACAAATAAGAGGCCAGGAATTCAGCAAGCTCACTTGGAAGAAATTAAACTAATAATTTAAAGTTGGCAGGATCTTGTCAAGTTCAGATTTGAAGAAATCTAGGGTCTTAACCTGCACTATGAAACATAGGATGAAAGAGAGCAAGTCATCCATAATTCAGTACTTTAAAAAAATCATTAAAATAAGTTGCCAAATAAAAATATCCTACCAGTAAAAACAAGATGCTTTTTTATTTTTTCAAAAACAAACAAAAGGACACATCAGTGAATGGAATGATAAGCAGATTTATGTGATGAGCTAATGTGGTATGTAAAAAAGGTACACAAAGGATCATCATCTCTGAAAACTGAAAATTCTGCACGCCGTCATTGTAAGATCGTGTCCTTTCCACACGTGTGTCCTTCGAGGAACTGAAAAATCAAAGAAGCAATCTGTGACCTTCAAGACGGAGAGTCACTGGATCATGAAAATGACGTACACACACACAGAAAAAGTACGCAATGTCTGAATGTCAAAGAATGTATCGTATAGAATACTTTAGATAATCCTCAAATAGGGGCAATAGTTGCCAGAGTCTCTAGTGACTTAATGTAATTTATGCATGAGAGCATCAAAGATTTGAATCTTGCTAAGTTGGGAGGAAGAAACTTAACATAATAAAGCATGTCCGATAACAGTTTGCACCAAAATAAAACAAAATACGCATATCAGTTTTCTGGAAATTAGAGTAGGAACAAATCATGCCAGCTGGATAATGGGTTCTTAAATGTGTACTGTATAGTTAACTCATTTAAATTCATTTAACTTGTGCAATGTTGCTTCAGTTGTTGACTGTAATCTATATGCCACTACATTTTAAGCAAAGTTTTGAACAATCATTACACTGTTCTGAATGAAAAAGAGGATTTAAATTTCACAAACAAGACATAAAGTGGAAGGCCTTCAAGGAATTCAGGCTGCTGGTAATTTTCTCATTTGCAGTCGCTGATTCAAACAAACATTTTCGGATAATAAACCGAGGCAGAAATGGTTTGACGCAGCTGAACCCCTGCCCATGTATTAATATTAAAACTGCCGTAAGTACTTAGATAATCTTATTTAATGCACCAATTTATATAGCATATAATGGCTGAAACATTTTAACAAGTATTTAACTATTTTAATTACATTTCTACACTTTAATGACAAACGCAATACGCTTAAAATTAATAATTAAGTACCTCCTAAGAGGTTTTGAGTATCTCGCAATTACCAGTGTGTCATTAATATAAGGAATGCCGTGTCTCTTTCGCTCTCCCTCCCGTTCTCCTTCTCGCTTTCTCTCTCCCTCTCTCCCCCAGTCACTCTCTCCCCCCTATCGAGCGGCCGCTGAGCGCTGCCGCATCACTGGGCGCCTCGCAGACTTCGGTGTCCTGACCGCAAACGTGAAGGAGCCGCTCGGCGATGGGGCTCAGCACGGGAAGGGGTGCTCGTATTTCCTATTTCTGTCTCTGACAGAAAAAAAAGAAAGAAAAGAGCAACATCGAGTCACTGTTAGTTTCATCCGAAACGATGGGCTTTTGACACTTATTGCCGACATCTGAAAAAATATATATTTATATTGCCGGGACAACATCGCCAATGAGGGCAGGATAGTAGGAAGAGCAGTTGTGATCCCAAGCAGCCATCAAAATACCTAAGGAACAAAAGGTAGGCTATGTGTTTCCTGTTGCTTGAGATTTCATATTTGCGCGCTTTTCTGTGCAGAACAGCTTGTTTTAATGAGACTGGGATATTCTGCTTGAATTTCTGGGCGAATGAGCTGCAAGCGTATCCGCGTTTGGTGCGACTCCGCCGGGGCTTTTCTGTCTGCAGCAGCCGTGAGTGTGATAGACCTGGGAGCGCTGGAGCATCGCTGGCATGACGAGACTCAGCGTGACCAAGTACAATTAAGGAGGTGCTTTGCTCTTTTCCGCGTCAACGTCTCCTTCTGTGCCTGTTAGTTTCTGTGTGTGGTTAGCTTTCACAAAGCGCACTGTCGAACAAGCCTTTTTGTGTTTCAGGATGCGTCCGTTAAGCATTCGAAACTGGGGCAAGTGAGATGTTTACGCTGAACACGGTGGTATTTAAATATTTACTCATTGCATTCACATACAAGGAAAAACACCCTGTCTACTATATCTCTTCTGTATCTGTGTATGAAGAGACGGTCCTTGTGCCATCCAGCGAAGACCATGTCAAATTTCTGTTTTCTTTGGGACAAGAGCGCAGAAAACAAGAAGTATATATATGCGTGTATTGGAGCCTCATTTACGAGTTATTACGCCCGGATTAGCCTTAAGGTCCGTTCCCGTGCTTCACTAACATCATCCAAGCTAATACTGAAGAGTAAAGGCGAGCTAGTTAGACTCTCAGATCATAGTCCATTTATAACAGAAAAATTCAGGACTCGGCAGAGAGGAAAGTTATTTAACGCACGGGCAGAGAGTGAGCCCAAGCTTTCAGCTCAGCCCGTTAACTTTTGCCTAGTTTTAGGTCCATTTTTTAGGTATTATTTGGGGAAATCCAGTCTCCTGCCTGAACTAGACGTATCCTAAACTGGAGTAAACGGCTTTTGATGATTTGCCGGTGAAACATCGTTTACACGTTTCAAGCTCGCTATCCCTTAGGCTTAGGGAGACACATTTATAATGAATTAATACCGTTTGGAGGTTTCCTACACTGAAAATATCAAAGTCCAAATAGCTTTGGTAAACCACTGTTTTTTGACTGGTTTGTTGTGTAGGACAGCAGGTTTCGTGCAAATAATCGATAAAATGATTTAGACCGCGTGTGTGGTTTTCCCTAAAAAGTGTTTATTATTATTATTATTATTATTATTATGATTATTATTATTATATTTTTTAGCAGATAAAAGCTTGTGGGTCACCGATAGAAATGGGAGCAGTGTGCACTGGGGACCAAGACACTGTGTTCTGGAGATCATTTAAAATAGACCACAGAACTCATTTTCCCTGGTCCGCTGAAGGGCTTGCAGCCCCTGTCCCAGAAAGTTTGCGTGCTGGCTAGGATTTTGAGTTCAAGCTACCGCCCTTAAATCTGCCATCAGAGAGAGCTTCAGCAATTAAAATCCTCTTTCAGCCCTGGGAGGTCTGATGATTCATTCTCAGTCTGAAACAGATTTTGGGATCACAAAACTGATGAGTGTTGTGACACTTTGGAACTTCCTGACAAGCAAGTAGAGAAGGAGAGAGAGATAGAGAGAGAGTGTGAGAGAGAGGGAGAGAAAGTCCTACTGTCAGTGCTAAATAGAGACTACTAATCAGTAGGAAATCAATAGTCTTTTACAGGAATGTTTATACTAATTAAACTCAGTTATCGGCTATCCTGTTACATTTGTGCTTTTCAAAGGCTTAAGATCATCCTTTTTCCATGCTCCCCCCACTATGATTGCGCCTAAAAGTACTAGGTCACACTATGTCCCAGCCCCCCAAGTCTGCATGACGTCAAATTAGCAGTGGTTTCAGTGTCTCCCTGTAGACACGCAGCTTTTTAAAATGACCTCAATACAATATTGCCTAAATGTTGCAGTGGCCCTGATGTTCCCCTCCAGCAAGAAGTCTCTGCAGATTGAATAAAGTGCAAATGCGCAATAGCCCGCAGAATGAATGTGAGTCTGTTCTGAAATGACATCGCATTTTCTTTAGGAGGCAGTGGCACATAACGGCTGCATTTGTGATTAGGCTTCTGCATTACTGCCTGGCAATTGCATCTTTTACCTGTTACTATCCCCATGTCTGCTTGTATTATTCCACCCAAAAGGTCCCAAAGTAGGTTCCTTGATCTTCTTGTTGTTTGTGGCATGGGCAGAAAGCTGAAGATGCAGAGGATATATGTTATACAATATGTATGCCACACATTGTATTAAATATCTACAGTTTTGGAGCTGTATATCTGAGCGGTGAGATCATCGCGATGGCATTGTTTCACCTCGTCATGCCAGCCCATCCGTGGGGGTGGCACCTGTCCACACCTGCGGGCGTTTCTTGCTGCCCCCTCTGTCCGAAGCGGACTGATTCCGCAAATACTCTCTCTCTCTCTCTCTCTCTCTCTCTCTCTGTCTCTGTCTCTCTCCAGAAAGCTGGTCAGCTTTGTGCTCTGATCCAAAAGTGCAATTAAAAAAAGCACTGTCCGCCATCCAGAAATAGTGCTGTTGGTTTAACATTTATTGTGGTGGAAGTGAACATCACACTTGTACTCATGTTCTGGAATTCTTATTGACACAAATGTGTTTACATACAGGATTATGACTGGGAAATCACCTACAGGTTTGTTTTGAAAAAAAATATGATAATTTGTGGTATATTATACGTCATTCTAAGAAAATAAAAGTTTTTTCTATAGAGAAAAATGCATGCCAGTCATTAATATGTGCAGAAATTAATCAATGCCTATAACACTGGATACATATGCAAAAACGTATTAATTAAAAAACATAGAAACTGCAAATACATCAAACTAGAAAGCAGATAAGGAAAACAGTAGATCCTCTAAGGTTCCTTTCTATTACAGAAAATAAAATGATGTAATATTAATATAGGCCTGGTGGCTATGGTTTTAGAACTAGTCTTAGTATTGTCCTGTTTTGTCTTCCAATAATTTTAATGGGAAAGTATAAACGTTTGCAGATTTATTGCAAATGTCCAATGAATTCTGAGCCAGCAGATGGTTTAGTGGCTAAAGGGAAAGATTTATGGCGATACAGTCAGACAAAGCCATCAGGTGTTTATCTCCTGGAGCAAAGCTGTTTGAGGAACGTTTAGTAGCTGGATTGGATTAATACAATGGAAAACTGCACAAACCGGTCACACACAGTGTAAGTCAGTTCTTTGTAAGTAAAGTAACGTTTGTGAGATCTCATAGACATATTTTGTATCGTGCCATTAATTTAAGTACCTTGTGGCTTTCAACTCTGTAAAAGACAGGAAATAAAAGCACTAAAAATAACTGTCAGAGCTTTGTTATCCAGAAGATGCAAGTGCTTTTAAATCATTTGCCTCAGAAAGAGCATCACTGGAAGGGTTTTCTGTTTACAGCAGAGTGCTGCAATGAATAAGCAAAAATGCCACGATTACCTCGGTCCTCCATCCAGAAAAGCAGGGTGTGCAACATAAATAGTCCATATGGAGTTTCAATAAGAGGACATTCAGCAAGTTCCAAAAACTGAGCCAAGATGGACTGAAATAAAACAACAAAAAAAACATCAACTTTTTAAAACCTCTCCTAAAACTTGTGCTTATAGAAGGTAGTTTTCCAATTACATTTCAGTTTCATTGTATAAGGAACGTATTTTATGTAAGTTCTGTACCACAATCCCATGTTTTCAGTATGATATGATAAGCATGATATTCTAAATTATTACGATACACCTTAAACTTTCTGTCTTTTAAAAAAAAAAAATCTTTTCCCATCTGGTGCTACAAAAATGTTATATTTTCGGCATAACAGGATCTCTATTCTTGAATGAATATTTACACAATGAGTGACAAATATGCTTGTTAACAAATTCAAAACAACTGTTCCTTACAGGCCTGGAGTCCAACAGAACTTCCATTACTTATCATACTGTAGCTACAGGCCTGTTTGTAGCTTGTTATATTGTCTGAGGTAGCTAGTTATCTAAGTGCATACTGAATTAAATGAAATTAGCTCGACAGCTAGCCCCTTAGCTCACCTCTGATTGCAGTGTAAATCTGCAGTGTGTTGGAGCAAAAGAGGGTGTTTGGAAGCAATGGCCCAGTTCTCACAGCTTTATATGTTGCTTGACTCGCCTTCCCATTTCATCCCATGGTTGTCAAAGTCGGCCCATTCCATCCATGTCCCGTGGGACTGTTTGCAGTCACGCCAAACCAGAATTTTTTTCATAGCACAAATTGTCCCATATGGTTTCCTGTCTGATTATACCAGATTATTCGTTTGAGTTTCACCGCTGAGGTCTTGCAGCACAACCCCAATTTTGGAGCGCAGAGCATCATAAAGCAGGGAAAAATACTGATGATGCAAGAGACAAATGCCTTGTGTTTTGGGGATGTGTGTAGAAGAAACTAGATCCATTGCAGAGGTGGAAAGTTCTGGTTGAGAAAGTACAAATCCAGACCAAGGTTTTTGTTTCAACCAACCAGTTGAGTATATAGAGTCACAGTCATAGAGTCCTCAACTGGTTGGTTGAGACAAAACCTTGGTCTGGATTTGTACTTTCTGGACAATTGGCATCAATTGGCATTTGTATTTGAAGTGTTTTTGCATGACATCTACAAGGGAAATGAACTATATATTGTGCATGGATGCCAGGTGTAGCGCCGTGTTAACTGGGACTGTGTTCATCACCACTGTAGAACAAGCCAGCTACACTTTCAACTAGCACATCTCCAACATTTGAAATACAGCTGGGTGCCCCTTTGTCATACAAAACATCACATGACACAAACAAGACATCACCGCAGTAGGGATGCGTTAACAAATGCAGCTTCTCTGTTGCATGCGTAGACGCTATAAATCGAACAATCTAATTGCCGTTTGAAGGAATCACATATGTCAGTGGTATTGCTATATCACAATGGGCTATTCTGAAAGCCAAGCTCTCAGTCGTTATAAGTGAGCATGGTCAACCGTGCATACGCCAGGGAATAATTACACACTCTTATGAAGAA